CCACCGTCCACTTGCATCGCCCCTTGTTGACTCACTTTTTCCCATGCTAACGCCATTCCTTTATCCTCGATCGTAAACACGAGCAAATCTCAAGTACTCTTCATCAGCTTCTAATTTTGGTTTCTACTGGTGTATAAGTGGCTTCTAAACATGTAAGGATCAAATTCAAACCCCTGCAATTACAATTTATTATTATTTTTTCTTTTTATTATTGTAAGCTCCCAGAATATTTTCAGTATATTTTAGTAATCGTATCTCTGATTGCTTGAATTTCGAACTTGTGAGATTGCCAGAGGTTTTATGTGATAATTTTCGGTATTAGGTTGGACGTTATTGGAAAACTTGAGACTGTTTTGTCTAGTTATTTTCCTTTTCAACTTTTTTGTAAATCTAAATGAGACGCCTGTTTGATTACTGTTGTCTAGACTTCTTTCTAGCCATGACGAAGATCGTCGGGACCTTGGGCCCGAAATCGCTAGCTGTTGAAATCATTTCGAGCTGCCTTCAAGTTGGTAGGTTAGGTGATCTTCACTTTCTATTGTTTAATTTAGGATTTAGAACTACTTCGGGTTTATAGGAGATGCATTTTAACTTCAGGGTCAAATGTGTCAAAATTTTGAATTTTGACTTTATCCTAATTTTATGTAAACTTTGAAGATTCAATTCTCTAATAGAACTTTGTTTTCTTACAATGTAACACATTTCCATTGTATTCATTCAAATATCTAAGCATCTCACTCAGTTGCTCGTCATTTGACAACACAAGTGGAAATACATCTCTGGTTTTGGAGGGTTTTGCTTTTTGTTTATCATGTTTATGTTAGGGAAACTGATTGAACTTGTATAGATGAACCGAAATTGCATTCATTAATTTGACAAGTTTTCTATAATGAACTTGCTGATGTATTGCTTCATGTACTGTCTTAAGTGTCTTAACTGATACTTTCTTATTTCTCTCTTTTTGTATGTGTAGTTGCACGATTTGATTTTTCATAGGGTGACATTGAATTTCATCAAGAGACATTGGAAAATCTTAAAATGGCTATCAAGAGCTCGAAAAAACTACGTGTTGTAAGTTTTTTTCCTACACCAAAAGAATGAAAAACTATCCCAGAAACTCACAGGTGAAGTTGATAATTCCTTATATACAAGGTTTTTGATTTCATAATATGATGGTAATATATAATTATATATAAGTTCTCTGGAAGCAAAAACCTTGGTCATCCTTACACCCGATCAAGAAAAAGAAGCCACTTCCAATCTTTTACCAATAAACTTTAGTATCAAATACTTATGTATTTTAGGAAATCATTGTTAAATAAAGCTATATATTGATGTTCCAAACATTCATAGTATATGCCTCTTTGGTAATTTATTACGAATTTCATCTTAACCTACCCCAACTATATTGCTAAAAGATGTCTTGTCATTAGTTTGTTACTTCTTACAAACTACATTATTATGCCTAATTCAGGTCTTCTTTGTTTTCATGCTTTGTGATACTTCAAACTATGATTCCCATATGAAGGTACATATTCATTTCTCCTAATGAAAGTAAATTTAGTTTCTCTAATCATACATTGTAATTAATTGATGATACCCTCTCTTTAGACTCAATCATGGATCCTAGAATGCATGACATATACAAACCATCATACTGGACAATCTTTGGTTGTCACAATAGTAATCATTAAGCCAAATTACATGCTTAAAGTATGTTTCTTGCTTCAAGGATTGGGCTATTTAAACAAGCAAGATGTCAAGAAGATAATCATAATATTAGTAATTTGATATCATGTTCATTTTCCGATATTTCCCCTCTATGTTATGGGTGTTTTTCTAATACTCTAGAGAGGTAGATATACTTGTAATTTTTCATATACTTGTGTCCTTGGTTCTTCAAGATCACATTAAGCATAAAGTTTACTCTTTTCTTTTTTTTTCCTTTTTTTTTATGATTTGCAATTTCTTTAAGCACTTTAAAGTGTTAATTCTTTTATTCTTACAGATAGGACTTCTGTTTTCAGAAGGACAGTGTGATTAAAAACAGTGATGGTCACATATATTATTTACAAGCAATTAGATGGTGATTGTTGGCCTTGGTATGAAATCAAATTTCTCATAATAATGTTTATGAGTACATATATAACACCATTCTTATATAATCCATATACTTTACAGGGATATGAAACAAATAGATTTACTCTTACATCACTACTAGAGGAAGGACGGAAATGGGACATCCGGTTAGAAGTTCTCCATTGAATGTCTTGTTTTTTTAATAATATATTTTGTCAAGTTCTTTTCACTTGGAGATAACATAAGGGTCCTTTTCTTTGTTGCAATTATTCTTTATCATTTTGTACTTTACAGAAACATTGGTGGTAGTAAACTAGTTATAAATTTGAAGGATATTATTGTAATTTAGCCAACAATCTTGTATTTCTTTTACAGGTGGAAGATATGCGATCTCTTCAGTGAATCAATATAAACAATCACAATTCAGGTCAGTGCTTTCCATTAATTGGAAATTTTGGATATCTATAAAAAACTTCAGGTCGGTGCATCACAATTCACATGCTTGGGAGACTTCTAGTCTACTTCTTTACACAACTTTATTCTTTTTATTTCACTTCCATTTTCTCGTATGCTGAATAATTTATGTTCCGGGTTTAGGTTTAGGTGGAACACAGTCAAATCCTTCCTTGATCTAAAGACTACTACCAAGATTCATGCAAGTTATTTCCAATTTTTTTCACCTAAAAAATAACTGCATTTTTGTAAAATACGGTTGAGTTGACAAGGAATGTTTGGGACCAAAAAAGAAACAATCTTTGTCTATCAGCACTTACTCCAGACATAACTAAGAAGGGTAAAACGGTCATTTTATTGCATTTATATGAATTATGTATTCTTCTTTTACATACAAACCGAACTGAATGAAGATACCCTATATACAAAGAACTTTGAGGCAATCCGCAATTTCAAGCTCAGGCTAACACTAGTTTTGTATCAATTGTAGATGTAATTCAGGTATTCTTTTCAAATATATCGAAATTTCCTTCCCAAAAAATATATATTGACAATTGTCAGCTTATGAGCCATCCTTGATCTTTTAAACTATGTCCAATGGATTTTTGGTCTTGAAATCATTAAATCATGTGGAGTTGGGTTTTTTTTTTTTTGTTATTATGAGGTTTAGTGATAAGTTTTCTGATTTCCCACTTTTGTATTTTTATTAGGGGAATGTGCTCATTGTTGTTCTTTCAAATTACATGGTTGACATTGATTAGATGATGCTTCGTCTTTAGGACCTTTTTGTTCAGGTGGAACTTTTGATGATGAGTATGAGGACATTTCTGTCTTTTTCACTTTTTCGGATGGGACAAAAATTGCAAATTTTTTCTGATCCAATACACACCAAACAGGGTACAAGTTCTCTGTTCTTTCTTCTATGACTCTATTTACATGTAGGTTTTAGGCAGCAAATACCAAAACAAGTTCCTCGAAATGATTGATTTCAAGCATATTTTTAGTTTTATTAAATAATATTTCATGGATAAAACCTTTAAATAACATGTGCATAATTTTAATTGATGTCACTTTAAGAGTTCTTGTAGTACATGTCTTGATAACGGTAGTTACAGGCAATCAGAGAAGGGCACATGGAAAGACCTAGAGACCAAGGTTAGTTCTTTAATTTCCTTTTTAATTAAAAATATTGCATTGTTTTTTATAAATGCTAAACGAGCTGTTAATTTTGGTGTGACTATTAATTTATGAAGACCAATTCAATTACAATATTTTCTTTCCTTCCATTGCAGGAAAAGTAAGTGGAACTTGGTTCGCCTAATTCCATGGGATTAAACGTGAATTGGAATCCAATTCCACTCCGATCCTTAATCGGACGTAAGTGATCAAGCAATGTTAAACTTTAATATTAAGTGTTTTTGGTAAACTTTTGATAGTTGATTTTTTGGTATTTTAATGTTAATGTTTGGTTTTAGATTGTAAAATTATTGGATGCTTTTGGCATTTAAATGTTAATGTTTGGTTTGTGTTTGTATAATTATTTGATGTTTGTGGTCTTTTTTGTTTTAGATTCATTAAAAATAAAAAATAAAAAATAAAAAATAAAAAAAAAAAGCTGATATCATTTATTTGTGAGGGATTAGCGATGGAAAGGAAAACAATCACATCTTAAATTTTGGCGAAGGATTAGCTACGGGGTTAGAAAACAGATATAGTGGTTTGCTAGGGATTGACGACGGTATATTGTCATTAAATTTTATCGCCATCATCATAAATAACTATATATTAAGTGACCAATTTGCAATGGATATTTCGTCACTAAGGTCGTCGCAAGAAAATTTTAGTCCGTCGCCAAATCCCTAGCTTAGTCATTAGCCACGTTTAAATCGGCTAGGGAATAAGTCTGTCTTTGATCTGTCGCAAATGTTCTTTAGTGACAGAATAGCGAGCTATTAGTCTGTCGCTAAAAACCATGTTTCTAGTAGTGAGAGCTTAAGTTATTTACAAATTAAAATAAATCAGTAAATAATTAGTTATTTATTATTTATTAACAAAAATGAAATAAATTAATAAATAAGTTTAGTTAGTAAATTATATTAAAATAGTATATTTAATAAGTTTATTTAATTTAAAATAATTAATTAATAGATTGAATAATCAATGTTGGGTTGAAGATTGTTCTTAAAAATACGATATCAACATCAACATTCTATTAAATATACTTGTTTCAAATTTTGTATAAATCCCTAAATTAAAATTACATGAGGTGATCCCCTCTTTTCATGTAATTTCTTGGGATTTATTAGAAAATATGAAACAAATGTACGTAATATATAGAGTGATATGGCTTTGTAAAAGCTTCTTCAAACCAAACTATGAATTATTGCCTTCATATAGATTAATATTGTTTTTTTTTCTCTATAAATACCATAGTATTTTGCAATCGTTAAAAGACCAACAAATCTAGAATGGCTTCTTTGTTCACGTTTTACACTATTTGCAACTTGTTTCTCTTTGTCTTCCTTTTCTCCATTGCCAACCATTCCCGTGCAAGACAACACCCAAAAACCTCGGATTCTCTAGTCCTAGGTTTAACTAATATCAGGAGAACCATTAAACTCCCCAAAATATCATCAACGTTAAGCATTAAAGTTTCATCCCAGTCACCACCAACGTTGGATATGATGGAGCCCTTGAGAGGAGTAAGGGATGGGTACCTAATTTCTCTTAACCTGGGCTCACCTCCACAAGTTATTCAAGTGTATATGGATACTGGAAGTGATCTCACTTGGGTACCTTGTGGAAATCTCTCTTTTAACTGCATAGATTGTGACAACTATACAAATACTACGCCCATGTCCAAGTTTTCACCTTTGCAATCATCTTCTTGTGTTCGGGACTCTTGTGCTAGTGAGTTTTGTATCAACGTTCATAGCTCTGATAACCCATATGATCCTTGTAGCATTGCCGGTTGCTCTTTGAGTACCCTAGTCAAGGGCACTTGCTCAAGACCATGCCCTTCGTTCATATATACGTATGGGGAAGGTGTTGTAGCTGGTACCCTAACTAGGGATACCCTAACAGTCCATGGAAGTGCTGACGGCAGTGTTACAAGGGAAGTAACCAATTTTGGATTTGGGTGCGTTGGATCAAGTTATAAAGAGCCATTAGGAATCGCAGGGTTCGGGAAAGGTCCGCTTTCTTTACCTTCTCAATTAGGGTTTCTCCAAAAGGGTTTCTCTCATTGTTTTTTGGCTTTCAAGTTTGCCAATAACCCTAATATTTCGAGCCCTCTAGTCGTTGGAGATCTTGCAATCTCTTCAAAGGAACATTTGCAGTTCACTCCAATGTTAAAGAACCCCATGTACCCTAATTACTATTATATCGGATTAGAGGGCATAACTATAGGCATTGGATCGGGTTCGGTAATTCAAGTTCCTACAAACTTAAGAGACTTTGATTCATCCGGCAATGGGGGTATGTTGATAGATTCAGGAACCACCTACACTCATTTACCCGAGCCATTCTATTCTTTACTTCTCTCGGAGTTGGAATCTGTCATAAACTACCCTCGAGCTACTGAAGTGGAGGCACGAACGGGGTTTGATCTATGCTATAGAATCCCATGCATAAACAACGTTACAAATGCTATGACAACTATGGATGTGGATGATCATCTTCTTCCTTCAATCACGTTCCATTTCATTAACAATGTGAGCCTGGTTTTGCCACAAGAGAACAACTTCTACGCAATGGGTGCACCACGTAACTCAACAGTGGTTAAGTGTTTGTTGTTCCAGAGCATGGATAATGAGGATTACGGACCAGCTGGGGTTTTTGGGAGCTTTCAACAACAGAATGTGGAGGTTGTTTATGACATGAAGATGGAAAGGATAGGGTTCCAAACAATGGATTGCGCCTCTTCAGCTTTCAAACAACTTATCAAACGTTAATATCTGCCTTTAATTGTTTGAATGAAAACGTGTTTCTTCTTTTTGGAAACTAAAAGCCACTAAACAAGAAGCTCAATAATCGGTTTATTTTCCCTAATACTTGTTACACATTCCATATCATCATATATATGCAGCCTCTATATATTTTCAGAAAGATCCAAGAAACATTTATTGATGGATAAAATTGTTTTTGCCTGTTTATTGACCTGGTAATACATTAGATATGCCAAAGTCTACCTTAGATCTGAATAAATAACCTGTAACTACATTACCAACCAAAAAGTTCCAACCAAACCACCTAGACAACGCATATTACTTTATATATGACTATGTTACACTTTGAGAACGCGAATACATCTCCTGATAATAAATTCTCTGAAGTGTAATTATATATATATACACACAGAGAGAGAAGAGGTTTATATATAAATTGTAAGTATTGTGTGAATATAATAACCAATTGCGGACCAATCAAGATTTTGGGAACTTTGTTTATAATGGTTTTAATAAACAAAAACAAATCCTACATTTATAAATATTTCCCTTAACTCATGCACTAGTTACAAATTATAGATACAAAGAACGAATTTACAATATCAATTCGCAGTTCAACATCATTATACATGCCATACCTATATATATATATATATATATATATATATATATATATATATATATATATATATATATATATAATATATATATATATACACACACACACACAGAGAGGTTTATATATAAATTGTAAGTATTGTGTGAATATAATAACCAATTGCGGACCAATCAAGATTTTCGGAACTTTGTTTATAATGGTTTTAATAAACAAAAACAAATCCTACATTTATAAATATTTCCCTTAACTCATGCACTAGTTACAACTTATAGATATAAAGAACGAATTTACAATATCAATTCGTAGGTTCAACATCACTATACATGCCATCCCCAAAATCCCAAATCAACAAACAGCAACATCGTCGCACCGACTCATCTCCATCGGCATCCTATCTACAGAACATAATGAAATTATCGTTGCTCTAAATCTCGATTTGCCCATGAAATTGAGACAAGGTACGTGAACAACGAATTCTTGCATCACTACTCAACTCAACCGTACTGTAAAATTGATTAAACTTGTTTAAATCAATATTTCTTAAAGAACACTCATTTACCGCCTTCAAACTATTTGACAAAAAGCCTCAGAGTATTCATTGTCACAAAATCTCATACCAGGGTTTCCAAGGATGTTCTGGTGGGTTAGGAATCATAATTTATAATTTTTTGACTGAGAAGCAAAAGATTACTTATTGGATTTATTTGACCGAGGTTTTGGTGTTGTCTTTTTTTCTTCTCGATACTTCTTGGCTCTAATATGTTCTGTACAGGTCTTTAAATCGATTTGAGTTAAGGCTATAATTCTATTATCTATTATATCCTTATTGGTGTTGTGATGCCGCCCATTTAACTAATTTAACAATTTTGTTGTTGCCGCTTATTCAGTCTGAAGGATACTGGTGGTAAATATGGGGTAGAAGTTTTGATACATCATATCCATGTTGCAGGTTATTTTAACTGCTCATCTAGCATCAAATCTTTATTTTTTGGTGCTGCTCACTTACTTTTTTTTTGTTTGATGATGCCCTCTTTACATTCTATTTCTTGTGGTTTTATATCTCACATTATCTCTAGGTATGAAACTAATTCAAATTTGTTCTTGATTTCTCTCTGGACACGACATGTTAAAGCCTCAACACAGCGTGTTTATATAACTTTTGTTGGGTTTTGAGCACTATAACTCTTCCTAAGTGCATATACAACCCTAAATGCTTTGGATCTATGTTTTCTCTAATTATACACGCATTTACATTTTTCCAAAGCATTGTCCCTAACTAGCATACAAATTATCAAATGAACAATACAACTAGTTACATGACTTACATCTTAGAAGGACTTATACTTCTTAACCTTTGAAAGCTTTAGCACCTCGAGTGTGATGCCTCTAATGGTTCACAAACACCATATGCAAGAGGAGGCTTTAGAGAAAAGGTTATTTGGCACAAAA